GACACCTCCAATTTTGATAAGGTCAATTAACCTTTTGTGGTAGTTAAGATAGTTGTCTTTATCAGCATCCACAAAAATAAAATCAAACGATCCATGAAGTTTCACCTGTAGTTCAAAATGTGCAAAGCAAAATGAGTTTTCATAATTTGGAGAAAATATATATTAAAAAAAAAAAACAATATCTTTTATATGTTTGTAAGTACTTACATCATTGACCATTTCATCAAGAAGAGGAAGAGCAGGGCCTTCTCTAAAATCAATCTTGTGTGCAACACCGGCTTTCTCGATGATCGGAAGGCCAATTTCATAATTTTCACGGTTTATGTCCAAAGCCAATATCTTTCCATCCTCTGGGAGAGCAAGGGCCGTAGAAAGAAGGGAATAACCAGTGTAAACACCAATCTCCATCGTGTTCTTGGCATTTATGAGTTTGAGCAGTAGATTCAAAAATTGCCCTTCATCCGCAGATGTCGTCATAAGATTCCTATATGTCAAATGATAAGCAGCAAAAGATTTAGAAAAATGAATCCATAAATATTCTGTATATAGTAAACTTTGGGTGAGTTAAGGCACTTACCATGGGTGTTTAGCAGTGACCTCACGTAGCTCTTTCATGGATTCTGGCTCTCTCGGGTAAACGCTGGTTTCCAGAATGTATTGATAGAGAGCGTCGCTTTGAAGGAGGCTCTTGTGGCCAACTTCTTGGTGTTTTGCGGGTTGAGCTTCTCCGGTAGCGGCCATTCCGATGGATGTACGGTGTGTGAAATGTTGGAAGGTATTATATTAGGCTGTAGAAGTGAACCTGAGATGAAAGGAGAAAACTTTTCGAAATATATAGGGAAGGGAGTTGGTGAATTATGACCGAGGAAGGTGGTGGGTTGTTGCGGTTGATCGTTTCAATTGTTGGTGACATGTTGACTTTGCCAACCATCATGGACAAGACGAATCAGGAATCCGACTTGGTAAGCTAGCTCCGTTATTTTATGATATGTCATGCTTACTTCATTTGTTCCTGTAACAAAGCCTTTGAGGTTGTTATTTAGATGCAGATTAGGTTAGCTTAAATGTGTCATCAGTCTTGGAATCATTTCTACTGCAAATCATTTTTCAGCTATATAAATTTTCACGAAAATATACTTCCAATTAAATGAAATATTTAGGGCGGGGCTTTTTTTAGTCATTAATTAAAGATGTTAAAAAATTTACTGTCATAAATAAAATAACTGGTCTTTTAAAGTAGAAAACATAGCCCGTTATAAGGTTGAACCGAATGGGACTCTCGGCGTCCGATGTGAGGACGACATGCCGGCAGAACATATTCTTGTCGGTAGTTGTTTTCCAAATAAAAATTAGTATATATATATATATATATATATATATATATATATATATATATATATATATATATATATATATATATATATATATATATATATATATATATATATATATATATATATATATATGAGATTTTGAAATTAAATAGTCTTGTTATCTGTGATTATAGCGATCGATGTGTCAGTGGTTGTTCCTGATCGTACATCGAGACAATAGTGGAAGGTTTACGCCCGATGTCTTTGATATGACCGCGTTGAACATCCAAAATTCTTTCAAAATATGTTTTGTATATTCTCTGATGTCAGACCACTTGCTTCAGAAGAAGCTTTAGTTTGTTGATTGATCTCACCTTCAAAAAAATGATTAACATCATAATATATATATAAATACTTATACACAAATATAAATTAACCACTTACATATCGCTGATCGACTATAACACTACTAAATAGCCCTTCACAATCGGTATTAGCCCTACGTAATGCTTCGAGTTTACTGATGTTCTATTTAACATAAAAATTTGCATTAATTATACTTTAAATTAACAATTAAGTACATCATACCTTAGTTCTTTGAAACAGGCATTGCTATACGAGCATGATCCTCCTCTGTTTACAAGTTGTTGTTCTGAACGAATTCCTTTGTTTGCCTCCGAACACTTTATAAATTTGGGCATTTGAAAGTGTTTGACTGCATGCACCCAATTTTCAGGTGATCAACCCTTTGGTGGTTGGCGAACACCCTTCGATATCTACAATCCCTCTGATATTTTGAAAATAAGTATGTGCTTTAGTTTTTCGGCCTCTATAATTTTTTTTGTATACTCACATCAATGTTATGCAACAACTGAGCATGCTGGGGGATCCAAATTAAGCTTATAAAAATTAAACTTTCTCTACAAACAAAAAAAATTAGTTAATTAAATACCAATCATAAATAAACTTAAAATATTATCATATAAATAATTTACCTTCATATGCACGATTGTGACATTCCTTAAAGCGGGGAAAACGTTGTACCAACCAGATACGCTAAAAAGGATGTTCTGCCACAAATATTGCCCAAGTTCATGCATCAACATTTTTCTACATTTTCCAACAGGGGAAAATGTGAGCTCCTATCGAAATCCAAATCAATAGGCTTTCCCTTGTTTGGTTGTATTAGCTTTGTGAGTTCGATCTTTTTAGATAATCCTTGTCTTTTTTTTTGGTAGCTCAGCTAAAAAATATTTGTCATGATAGTTTATAATAAGTGAATAAAAATAGCTAATAAATATATATTATAATAATAATTACCATCCACTTCATGTTGTCTGTGACTAAAGCCTAAATGAGATGGTGGATCCTCGACTCCACATCCTAAGCCCGTCATATTAGCCATCATGTAAAATAGTATCACCCAACTAAGCCTCATATATAGCCTATAAAATTATAAGATGTACCATATAGAATCACAATATGAAAGTTAAATGATACACTTTCCAATATAGCATCCTACTTTTTTTTTCTTCATTTTTTCCATTATAACATTGTACTTTCCAAATAAGCCCTTAAAAGTTAAATGATGTTCCATTCAGTACATACATACATATAATACATATAAATACAAATACTCATATTGTATATACATACGAATACACTTTCCAATATAGCATCCTACTTTTTTTTCATTTTTTCCATTATAGCATTATACTTTCCAAATAAGCCCTTAAAAGTTAAATGATGTTCCAATCAATATATATATATATATATATATATATATATATATATATATATACACACACACACATAAAAAATACACATATTGCATTTACATACAAACAAACTTTCCATTATAACATCCTACTTTTTTTTAATTTTTTCAATTATAGCATTGTATTTTCCAAATAAGCCATGAAAATTTAAATGATGTTCCAATCAATACATGCATACATATACATAAAAATACACATATTGCATATACATACAAATACACTTTCCATTGTAGCATCCTACTTTTTTTTTCAATTATAGCATTGTACTCTCCACATAAACCCTTAAAGGTTAAATAATGTTCCAATCAATACATACATACATATACATAAAAATACACATATTACATATATACATACAAATACACTTTCTATTCAAACATCTTACATTTTTTTTTCTTCCATTTTTTCCATTATAGCATTCTACCTTCCAAATAAGCCATTAAAAGTTAAATGATGTTCCAATTAATACATACATACAAATACACGTATTGCATATACATACAAATACACTTTCCATTATAGCATCCTACTTTTTTTTTCATATTTTTCATTATAGCATTGTAGTTTCCAAATTGCATACAAATAGACAAACTATATACATAATTTTTTATACATACAAATATATATATATATACAAAAATATTACACATCCAAAAACACATATACATACATCATACACATACAAATACACATATATGATGCACATACAAATATATAAAATCATATATACATACATCATACACATCCAAAATACAAATATATATATATATATATATATATATATATATATATACACACACACACACAAATCCACATATAAATACACTTCTATATACACAAAATCAACACATTATATATAAAAAATAGAAAAAAGAAAACATGTGGTGTGGTGGTCGTAACGACAGATTCCGGCGAGAACAGTGGTGATGGCATCTAATGCTGGTGGGAGTTGACAATAGCAGTTCTACCTTGGTGAGGATCTCATATTTCTAGCAAAATACTCGAAATTACTTCAGCCAACAGTTATATTTAGTGGGGAGAGAAGAAAATGAAATGAAAAAGAGAGAGAAAAAAAACCGAAGTCTCACATATTAATGTCGTGGGAAATGGTGCTTCGGAGCCACATTTTGGGTTGCAATTGTTGAGCTTTGTTGTTGATATAGTGGACGGCGATGTGGCTTTAGATGGAGAAAGTTAGGGTTTCACTAAGGTAGAAAGGGAAATCGACCGAGGAAGAAGATGCGACGGATTGGGAAAGAACGAGGGAAGATAGGTATTATTTGTGAATGGGTACTAGTTGTGACGGGAATTAGCAGCGACAGTACCCTTTAGTAGCGATGGGCGAAGTAATAGAAACGACACCTTTCGAGGGAATCTTTGGCGATACTTTTTTCGAGTTTTAGCGACGACCCTGTCGTCCATAAAGGTTTTGCCGCTAAAAGTTGCATACGATGTGGATTTATTGTCTGTTGGATGAGGCACTAAATCAATGGCCATGATTTCACCTCAGCGTTTGACACAGACCGATGTTGAATAGGCTTTAGCGGCCACGCACACCTTCAAGGGCAACAAATAATACGAAAATTATTTGTCGCCGCTAAAGGCTATTATTCTTGTAGTCTACGGCCAAATTTGAAAAATAAATTCTAATAAATAACTTTCTAAATAAGAGTGGAAATTTTAAAAAGCAAGGAAAACAGATATTATTTCAATCTATCTGGAGCTCTGCCCTGTCGTTATCTTTTAGTCGATATATTGGACGCCTCCAAATTGTTTACGGATTATAAGTTATGTTCGTTTTAAGTTGGGCCTCTTTTGATCTGATCGGAATTTCTCTCACTTGTCCATAAAGCTTCCCCATATTATTTATGTGCTCTGCATAACTTCCAACAAGGTTGATTATAATATATTTATGTTTATTACCTTGCTTGATATTGCAAAATCTGAATTTGTTTGATTATCAAATCAGGATTTTCTGTAATGTTTAAAATAAATGAATAAAAAAAAATAAATAAATAAACTTTTCTTTAAGTAGCAGTTGGTGTCCTTAATCATTTACTTGGTCACTAGTCTGTTGCTAAAATTTGTCGCAAATTAATGATAAATTTATGGGTTTCTGGCCATTTGATGGGTTTCGAAGTTGTGGTAAACTTGATTGGAAGAAGCACGGCTTTATTGGCCACTGAATTTCGAAGTATCCAAAGCTAAATTCGTCTTTTAAATTATGCCATGTTCTTTTTACAATCTGTCGCTAACTACCATGATACGATGAAATCTTAAAATTTTTTTTTAATATTTTCAATAAGATTAAAGGCCAACCAATTCAATATACAATTACCGAAATAGAGTTCCTATTGTGTATGATGACATATTTCTAAACTTGAAATATTTGTGAACAAGGTTAAATGATATATAAATATACAACATTATGATTAAGCAATTTAAAACATGAATGCAAATTGTCGCATTACAGAAAGGAAATAATTAATCAAATCATTTACAAGTTTATTTTGGCTGAACCGTTATATGTGATTAGCTTATTCGGCGACATAGAGTGATTCCATCACCCACAGGAAGCTGACAGATCTCTACTCTTGGATCAGCAGCGAGGGCTTTGTTGAGCTCTAACACGAAGTCTCTGTAATATCTAACATACTTCCGAAGTGGGGCATCTGCGGGTGCCACCAAAGACCCATTCCAAAGGGTGTTATCGTAGCCAATCACTCCCCCAATTTTAACAAGATCGATTAACCTTTTGTGGTAATTAAGATAGTTGTCTTTATCCGCATCCACGAAAATAAAATCGAATGATCCATGGAATTTTACATCTCCTACCATCTGGTCAAGAAGAGGAAGCGCAGGGCCTTCTCTAAAGTCAATCTTGTGAGCAACACCTGCTTTCTCAATGATCGGAAGGCCGATTTCGTAATTTTCACGGTTTATGTCCAAGGCCAATATCTTTCCATCTTCTGGTAGAGCAAGCGCAGTAGAAAGAAGGGAATAACCAGTGTAAACACCGATCTCCATAGTGTTCTTAGCATTTATGAGCTTAAGAAGTAAGTTCAAAAACTGTCCTTCGTCAGCGGATGTCGTCATAAGATTCCTGCATTTAGTAGTACAAGTAAAACAGATTAGACAACGAAAAGCACCCACAATACTTTTATGGTAATCCTGTTAATGTGTTATAACATTACGAAATGCATGCACTTAATTATGACTTACCAAGGATGTTTAGCAGTGACCTCACGTAGCTCTTTCATGGATTCTGGCTCTCTCGGGTAAACACTGGTTTCAAGAATGTATTGGTAAAGTGCATCGCTTTGAAGGAGGCTCTTGTGGCCAACTTCTTGGTGTTTTGCAGGCTGAGTTTCTCCGGTGGTGGCCATTGTGAGGAATCTCTGTTGTGTTAGTGTGAAATGGATATTAATGGTGGGTTGAAATGAATCTGAAATTGAAGGATTGGGTGTATGGGAATATATACGGAGTGAGCATGGAGGATCGGAAGGTGAAGGGATGGTGCCGGTGCGGTTGTGGTTGTGGCCTTGTTGTTGGTGGGGTTGGTGAGACTTAAGCTTTCATTGCAGATGTGGACTTCGCCAACCATAGTGGAAACCACGAGTTGGTAAAACTCACTTGTTTAATTCTAGTTTTTATAATAAAAATATATGCCAATTTAGTTGATCGGTTTTATTAAGGGTGGCGACTGGTTCCAAACACGATACAAACCGGACCGGTGGCGGAGTTAGATGGATCGTTGGGTAGTATAGTACCCAAAAAAAATATTATTTGTAAACATGTACCGCACCCCCAACTAAAGAAATTATAACATGTTTTTTATTGTCCGATATTGAATAGCTACATATAATATATATTGACAATGTTTGTACTACCATATTAAAATTTCTAGTTCTGCCACTGAACTGGACCATACCCGATTGGAAGCAAAATTGAAGACCCTCAAAGGAAGAACCCAGGACTCCAGGAGTAAATCGGTTCTGGTTTTTCAGTTCCAATACCCCCAAACCCGATTTTCACAAACTAATTTCCGATCAAGGATTCAACGCTCAAGATAAGTGCGTCAATATGTAAATGGCGAAAAGATTACTGGTATATAATTTTTTTGAAGAAAAAAAATTGTTACATTTGTTATGTAATTTTCTATATTTGATATTATGTTTATCTAAAAATTAGAAATTTGTTAGTATGATCTTGGTAATACGCCGGTAATGAATTACAAACACTCACCTTAAGTGTTTTCTTATTTTCTTTTTTAAACAAATATAGAAAACTTCAAAAAAAACATAAAATCAAATATATTAATACTAGAAAGTCTTTATCGGTAGGTTTCTTAATCGATTTAGTCTTTATCTTTTTTTTTAGTCAATTGAGTCCTGAATAGATTGCAAGTTAACTTAATCAAAACAGGATTATTAGTGGGTTAACCGGTTAGTGAAACATTTGTTTTTTTAATGTGGATTATGGCATGGCATCTAAGGGTTAATAAACGATTCCCTTCCATTAAAACAGGGTTTGTGCATTTGAAAAGTGTTGCAGCCGGTGAAAAACGAGATCATCCAGAAAAAAAAAAAAAAAAAAAAAAAACTTGTTGCAGTGCTTAAGAAGATAATCTCCACTACGTTCTAGCTCATCGATTCCTGCAATGTATGTAAAATGTAGAAATATTTTTCCTATATGTTATTGCAGTGTCGTACGTGTTGGATTAGGTATCTAAGCTCATAACTATAATCGGTATGTACTTGAATTGATGGTAGCATAGTCCTTTTGGTTTGCCCTCAAACCTAACAACTGCACAAGGAAATTATGAGAGGAGAGATGTTGATTTATTATAAGATTAATAAATTAATATAAATTATTTATTAATATGTTAAAAGGTTAATATATTAATTAGAAATCATAATGTTTAATTAATAGTTAGCCAGAAATTAATTAGAATTGATTTTGGGGTTAATTGTATTAATTATAAAGTGTAGGGACTAGTTTGCAATTATCAGATAGTTGAGTGGAAGGTTCCGGAACCACATTGGAAGTGGGTGGATGAAATCTATTGCGGAAACCCTAATGATTTCATCCAAGGGGCTTAGATAAGGCTTTTGGATAAGCTTAGGCCCTAAGCAAAGGAACGTTAGGGTTTTCCTTGAACCCCATATACTGCAGCTATATAAGGAGCCTCCTGGCTCCCAAAAGTGGCACTCCTTCTTTTGAAGAAACCCTAGGCCGAAATTGCATACCCTAACCTCTCTCCTCACAAGTTTCCTTCTTGCTAGCTCTTAGACGTGATTCCATTAGAGGCATTACAATTGTGGTGCTAGGCTTCCAAGAAGATCAAGATCAAAAGGATTACCAATTGTTTGCTATAACAATTGAAAGGTATGTAACTCTAAACCCAAATTTGTTATTTTCGAAAATAGCCTCTCTCCTTAGGGTTATTGTTTTGCAATTCAAAGTTATATGTTCAATAGTTAAAACATAGATCCAAAGTAGGTTGCATGTGAACTTAGGAATTGTTTTTCTAGTTTATTTGTTTTACCTAAATCCCCTCAGTGGTATCAAAGCGGGTTTTGTTTTAAATTGAATAGTTATAATAGTCGATTTGCAAATTAGGGTTTATAGCTATTAAACCCTAAAAGGCCACGCTTTTCCTTTTTAGGGTTTTTGGTTCAAAGGGTTTTTTCGAAACACCCTAGCCTCCATTAACCCTAATCGAAATTAGGGTTAGGGTTTTGAAAAGACCTAGCCTCCTCCCTTGAATTTCGAAATTGCTTATAATATTAGGGTTTTATTTTATTTTGGATAATTATTGCATAATTGGATAATTATTATCTAATTGGATAATTGAGAAAAATAAGGAAATTATTGTATACACTAATTTTTGAAATCCAGAGGGATATGGATTAGGATTAAATTAATTGTTTAATTTGATTAGATAATCCTTAAAAAATTTAATAAATTAAGTAAAAGTTGATTAATATATAATTATTAAATCTAGTTTCTTGGTTTATTTTAAACTTAAAAATTCATTTTCGAAAACTTTAAATAAACCCTAAAGTTTTAAAAAGTTTGAAACACACCTTTTATATATATATATATATATATATATATATATATATATATATATATATATATATATATTAATTAAATGTTAAATATTATATATGTATAAGAATTGATCAGTCAAATCGCTAGTATGCTTCATTAATGAAGCTAGTCTATAAGGGGGGTATAAGGAAACTGTTTATAAAATGGTGGTTGAATGGGTGTCCACTCTTACCCACCGCTTTCTTGATTAGTGGATGGTCGTGAGCAGAACGGATTTGATAGGACAACTAAATCTCATTAAAAGTATAATGTTATTAATGAAGTACTAGAACATTATTTTACAAAATCACAACTCTAGTTACTTTAGAAAAATATGAAAAGCATGCTAACCCATGAAATTACCTATTATGTTTTATTGGTCGTTAGTGGAGCGTGTGTGGTTAACCAGCACACTAGTAGGCACTAATAAAGAGTAGTAATGGGTATCTCTTAATTATCATTTTGATGGGGCGTGTGTGGTTTACCAGCATTTCAATAGATAATGATAAAGACAATGAGGTTACCAAGCACATTTTCATGGTTATTCACATCTTGTTTGTGATCCTCGGTATCCCAGTCACAAATACAAGAGCATAATCCGAGATTAAAACATGTCATTGAATACTTTCAATGTATCTCAAAAGAATTAGGAATTTCACTTCATTTCCTCCTATGGTGGATATTGGTGAATTGTCATTCACATACCTATATGAAATTTACACTTGGGTTTCGGCATCCCATTTCTAAGTTTTGAATCACCATAGTTGGATCCTAACCTTAATATTTTATCTTTGGGTTATTATATTGAGGTATCCTGAAATCTAACTAAAATTATCTTTCTTTTCAGATGTCTACTCCAGGAAACACTTCTGCTTCATCATCCTCCAACCACAACTTCTCTTTGCTCAATATTTTCTCCAAAGTCGTCATGGATGGCTCAAACTATAACGATTGGATGCGCAACATCAAATGGCGCTTCGTTTTGAGGACAAAGAGTATGTCCTTGAAAAAGATCTCAAAGAAATTGATGATTCCAAATCTACTCTCGAAGAATATGTTGCCTACAAGAAGCACTATGACGATGCCACCAAAGTGCTATGCATCATGGTTGCAACCATGTCCCCAGAACTGCAGAGGTACTATGAGGACTACTGGCCTTTTGAGATGAATAAGGACCTTATGGAAAAGTACCATAAGTGAGCTCGTCATGAAAATTTTGAGGAAGTCAAATCACTCATGGCTTGCAAGAGGAAGGATGGGGAGTCGGTTGTTAGTCATGTGCAAAGAATGCAACACTACATAGAGCGTTTGTTCAAGATCAACATACTCTTTGATGAGGAATTGGCCATTGACATGGTCTCGAACTCGTTACTCGAGTGTTATGGTCACTTCATCCTAACTTACCATTTGAACAACATCGAGCAGACATTGGCCTAATTGCACAACTTCTTGCAGATAGTAAAGGCATGAATGAAGGGTAAAAGTATAGCCTCCATTCCTGCTAGTGCCCCTGTCTTGGCTATTGGACACGGAAAGCGGAAAAAGAGGAAAGGTCCTCCTAAGCAAAACTGGAAGGGCAAGGTCCAAGCTGTGTCATCTAGTAGTGGCCCAAAGGCCAAGCCCAATGTTATCATTTCACATGTTTCCGACCCAAAAGAAGCTGATTGCTTTTACTGCAATGACAAAGGGCACTAGAAGCGAAATTGCCCAAAATATCTACAAGATATCAAAGATGGCAAAGTGAAGCCATCTTCAGCAGGTATTTACACTATTTCTTCTAATAACTCATTATCTTCTCATTCGGGGGTCCTTGACACATGATGTGGTTTTCACATCTGTTCTGATTTGCAGGGGCTAAAAGAAAGTGAGGAGGTGGAGCGAGGGAGAATAAACTTGATCATGGGGAACAGAAAGTCTTCACCAGTGACCAAGATCAGAGTTTATCAACTCTTTCTTAATTATGATGTTAGACTAGATTTATTGAATTGTTACTATTCGTCTAAGATGACGAGAAACATTATTTCATTTCATGCATTGTTCAGACAAGGTTTTAAGTATTCTTTTAATGATTTGAATGGTTCCATTTCTGTTTATAGAATGGTGTTTTTGTGTTTGAAGCTTTACCTTGTGATGGTGTGTATGAAACAATGAATTGTGTTGATAGCTTAGGTAATAGTGTATTTAATATTGACTTGTCTAATAGTGTAGACAAGGCATGCTTGTGGCATTTTCGTCTTGGACACATTAACAAGAAACGCATAGCCCAACTCCAAAAGGATGGAGTGTTGGAATCATTTGACCTAAAATCATATGATATGTGTGAATCTTGTCT